TGACTCTGAAGGAATCACGAACTGTGAACATCCAGCTGAAGGATTCTTTGCAATGCTGTTTGTATATTAAACAAAAGAAAACCAAAACTTTACGATATTTGCAGTTTTATACGATAAGTGATTAAATATCATATTGTAATGTGTTATCTAGGCGTGAAGTTATGAAGAATCTGAATAATGTGTCTGAATTCATCCTCTTGGGACTTACTCAGGATCAAGAATTACAGAAAGTCTATTTTGGTCTGTTTTTGATCTTCTATGTGGCAATTCTGCTGGGGAATTTCCTGATCATTGTCACAATTAAGAGCAGTCACCATCTGATTTCTCCCATGTATTTCTTTCTCAGTTACCTTTCTTTTGTAGACATCTGTTATTCCTCAGTCACTGCTCCTAGACTGATAGCTGACTTCCTGGTTAAAAAGAAAACCATCTCTTTTGTTGGTTGCATAGCACAACTCTTTGTAGTCCACTTTTTTGGCTGTACTGAAATTTTCCTTCTCACAGTGATGGCATACGATCGATACATTGCGATCTGCAAGCCTCTCCATTATCCCGTTATTATGAAGAAGAGTGTCTGCAGTTGGATGGTGGTTCTCTCATGGCTGGGTGGGTTTGTACATTCAATGGTACAGACACTCCTCACCATACAGCTACCCTTCTGTGGTCCTAATGAGATTGATCACTATTTTTGTGATGTCCACCCTTTACTGAAATTGGCCTGCACTGATACCTACACAGTTGGACTCATTGTCATTGCCAATACTGGCATGATTTCCCTCAGTTCTTTTCTCGTGTTGACTATTTCTTACATTGTTATCCTATTCACATTGAGGACTCGTTCTTCCGAAGGACGTCTCAAGGCTCTTTCAACCTGTGCCTCCCACATCACAGTCGTGATTTTGTTTTTTGGCCCCTGCATCTTCCTTTACATGAGGCCTTCAACCACGTTCTCAGAGGACAAAAGTGTGGCTGTTTTCTATACTATTATCACTCCTATGCTCAATCCATTAATTTACACCTTGAGAAATGAAGAGGTAAAAAATGCCATGAGAAAATTATGGAGCAAAAATTTGGGGTAGAAAATTAAAGGTGGATTTAAAAATATAAAACCTTGGTATAATCACATGTCATATTAATGGTGGAGAAAAGTGGATTCATGTTAGTACTGGGCCTGTTGGAAGGGGGAGTTTTCCATCTTTAGCAAAGAGTAATTTGGGGAAATAAATTAGAATTAGATTTAAAAACAAAACCCTGATAATGTAATCATATTTATATTATTGATAGAGAAGGATATAGTAGCATCTATACTGGAGCCTATTGTACAGGGAAACCTTCCGTCTTTAGCAAGATTTCAGTACATCCTCTCCCCTTGTAATAATGAGTATAAAAATGATTTCTAATCAGGATGCTTTAAATTTTGTTACCATGTATAAAAGATTCCCCTCCCCCCCCAAGATTTAGGGCTGGGGACTGAAGATTTTATCTCTCCTCCTGACATACAGTGACAATAGTAATGACTACATTTGAAGATGTAATATTTAGTTAAAAATAATTGAATTGACATGATCTAATATGGTTCGCTGTGTTTCTGGAAGGGTAATTTATTCTTCCTCCTGCTGCAATAGTTCTATTCTGATAATTCAAGGAGAACTAGTTTTGTGTATTAACTACCTAGAGGTACCAAGAAGCTTTATAAGTTTATTCTTTGTATAGTCACAATTGAATGCATCTTGTATTTAGAATTACTTGCATCTGATGAAATTCAAGTGCAAAATAAATAAATAAATAAATAAATAAATAAATAAATAAATAAATAAATAAAAAAAAACAGACAGCTTGCCTGACTATAGGGAGAAATGCAAAGATCATGGCTGAATTCTGTGGCTAGTATGTCTGTGGACTGTGTTCTCAAGCTGTGGGAGGAACACTAAGAATGAGTACACTTGCCTTTCTCTTTTACTGATATTCTCACTTTGCAAAAGTAAAGGAAAATGTCTATTTATGTTTGGGAAATTGGACATTTTAAAAAAAAGATGATTGCTCTATGTTACTTGAGAGATGAGATGTTGGTGGGCAATATTTTCTTGTTCCCCACATTTTAAATATCTGTGGGGGGGAGGC